TGTTGAGTAAATATAATTTAGAATTGAAAGAACTCTTTCTTGATGATGATGATTTTAGAATACTTATCAGGTACTACAACAATGTGTTTAGTTTAGCATCTTTGATAACTAGAGAAATAGAACAAAAAGGTATATATGTTATTAAAATTCAAGGACGATTTTTTATGTTGCGCAAAACACATTGAATTTTGATCTTAATAAAAAACCAAAAAATAGTCAGCTATACATACATGATGATGAAATTGTTATTGATCTAAGATTAAAATCTATAAATAATAGTAAAATTCTTAAAGAATATATCGAAACTTTGACAAAAATTATGAAAGAAAATCCAATAGCAAAAAAGTACAAACATTTACATCAAATCACGAATGTAGAAAAACTACCAAATTATAAAATGACTTTTTTAAGAAAAACCGGCCAGAAAAAACGTACATACAACAAACCATTGAAAGCAGAATGCGGTGCTATTATTGTTTCTGACTCTGGACTACCAGAAAGTTTTGATCTTTGTGTATACCCGAAAAAATTACTCGATAATTATCCTAAAGAAATGTTTTCAAGTAAAATGTCTCATTTTATCGATCCCATGGTAATTCCATTATTTTTCTCCTAAGGAGATCAAGGATGGAGGACTGGTTATTTCAAAAATTACTTAAAAAAGAGCGAAAAACTAACTATTTCACAACATTATTCCTATAAACAGTCTTACAGATCAAATAAAATAAATTTTAGTCCATTATTATACGGGGGACGGCTGACACAACAAATTTTTATTCATTCTTACATTATGATTGAATATAACCGTTTCAATTATTTAAGATATAATCAAAAAAGTTTTAGAATAGAACGTTATCAAGGTTAATTAGACGCAATTGTTAATAGTGCATCCAACATTTATAAAAATTTCGAGACAAAGGAAAAAATTGGAAATCCTTTTATACTCTCATCTACATACATTGGAAGTCCAAGACATATGCAGAAACATTATCAAGATGCAATGTCTATGATGAGAAATGTGGTGGACCAGATTTATTTATCACAGTAACTTGCAATCCTAAATGGAAAGAATTAAAGTTACTTTTATCAAAATTTCCTGAAAATACAACCACAAATGATATCCCAAACTTAACCGTTAGACTATTTCACTTGAAATTACTGTCAGTTTTGGATGACATCATTAAAAACAATATATTCGGTAAAGTATTAGCATACGTCTATTTCATCGAATTTCAAAAACGTGGTTTACCTCATGCACATATTTAAATAACTTTGCATCCTAATAAAAAAATTGTTACACCTAAGCAAAATGATGCAATTATTTCAGCTAAAATTCTTTCTGGTAATACGAAGTTCACAAAATTAGTGATTAAACACATGCTTCATGGACCTCATACGGAACAAAGTCCTTGTATGATTGATAAAAAAGGTGCACAAAATTTTCCCAAATCATTGACAAACGTTACTTTATTTCAAATGAATGGTTACCCTGAATATAGAAGAAGAAATGATATTTCCCAACAACATGTTTATAAAATTTGGAGAAAAGATGAAATTTGAGTAGATAATTCAATAGTCGTGACGTATACTAAACTTTCGTTAATGAAATTTACATGTTATATTAACGTTAAATTATGTGCATCTATTTAAAACATTAAATATATTTATAACTGTATACATAAAGGTAGTGACAGAGCATACATCAAAATTCAAAAATTAAAACGCCAAGATGAAGAAAAATATAATGAAATTGATAGTAACGTTGATGCTAGATATGTCGGTCCAATGGAAGCAGCTTGTAGATTAAAAGAATTTACTATTTACAGTACAAGTCATACAGTTGTAAATTTAGCTGTTCACCTTGAAAACAAACAAAAACTGATATTTCAAGAAAATAATATTAAAACTGTTATAGAAACCTACAAGACACAGTTAGCAGCTTGGTTCAAATTAAATAAACATGATGACTTTGCAAAATCCATAAAGAATGTGAACATTCCAAAATACTACATTTTTAATAATACATTACAAATTTGGCAAAGAAGAAAAAATGTAATAAAAAACATTGCATTAGGTAGATTGAGCATTGTTTCTCCAAAAAATCATGAAAGATTTTTTTTAAATTTGTATTAAATAAAGTAACTGGTTCGATATCAATCAAAGATATTAGAACATATAAAGGAATAACTTATAAAATTATTATTTTTTATAATAAACATATAAAACATGTATTACATAAAAAAATATTTATCTGTTAAACAAACTAAACTTATATCTGTTTCAAATTTAATATTTCTTTCTCTACTACAGCGCTTTCTTTTAATGCGTCATCCATTATTTTTTTCTTTTTAGTGTCTAATTCTTTTAAAGCTAATATTTTTCTTTTTTTTGCATTTTTCTCTTCTAGTTCTTCATCACGTTTTTTCTTTTCTTTGGTTAAATCTTCTTTGTATAAAGATGATGACATGCGAACACTAGAAATTAACTTTTTGCTTATTTCAAATTCATGTGAAGGTTTTTGACTCGATTTAATTGCATCGTAAATCATTTTTTGAGCTATTAATAATTTTTCCTTTTGATTTTCTACAATACAGTCCTCATTAATAGAAAACCCTCTTTCAAGCTCAGAATTACCGTGTGAAAAAATCATAATAATTTTTACTAAGTCAAATAAATTACTATATTTACTAGCTCCATGAATATTTATTATTTTCACCCAGAACTCGTCTAGTCTGTCTTCTGACTTATAACTTTTTAATAATTTTTTAGTTGTTTCAAGCGATATAATTTCTTTGAATTCATCCTCAATTATTTCAGCTGTAATAGCTGGTACAATACTACAATCAACTAGTTTTTCTAAAACTATTGATAAGCGTTTTCGTGCAAGGATCTCGTTTAACGTAAAAGATGGATAAAAACAAGATAAACCTCCAACAAACGGGTACTTGAAAGGAGATTTAAGAAGAGTTTTGTCAACAAAAAATTTAATAATAGTACGAATATCATTTTTAAATCTTAAAATATCTAACTCTGAAATATTTTTCAATTTCTTTAATGCATTTTTTGTTGCGTAACGAATTTTTATTTTATCTGCTGTCAATAAAATACTTTCATGTAGTAAATTTATTTTTATGATATTTTTGGGTTCGCATGTGTACTCTGGCTTAACNCATCGCATAACGAGAACACCTCTTATTTAAATAATAAAATTCTTAAAAAATTAACTAGAGAGATTAAAACTTACTATAGTATAGAAAACGCAACTTATAAAGAAGTTGATTAATCGGACGATAATATTTATTTAAATTTTCCAGTGGAAATTTTGAACAATATTTGTGAAGGCTTACCACCTCATGAACTAAATCTGAAAATTGATACAATAGTAATGTTACTCAAAAATGTAAGTATATCAGATGGACTCTGTAATGAAACACGTTTACAAATTACAAAATTATTATATTATAATATAAAAGAAGAAATAATAACTGGAGGAAAAATTGGAAATAGAGTTTTTATTGCAAAAATAACTTCAGACACAGGAAACTCCTTAACACTACCATTTATTTTGTATCGTTAATAATTTCCAATCTTTGTGGCATTTACTGTGACACTAAACAAATCCCAAGGTCGAAGTCTCGATAATGTAGGTTTGTATCTAAAAAAACCCTTGTTTTCTCATGGCCAATTATATGTGGGTTTATCAAGATGCAAAGATAAAAATAACTTATTTATTTGAGTAGAAAAGCAAAAAAATTACAGAAATAGACAACATTGTTTGGAAAGAGATTTTTACATGATTTATTGACTTTACTTGATGATTTTTATGTACAAATTGGCAATATTTATGGCAAAAAATTGAAAGTTATTTATGAATATTTTATCATTTAACAAGTGAGCTGGCCATGATGTATATTTTTTGTAATGATAATTTTTGTTAAAAAAATTCAATTTTTAATTTTTCGGCATAAAAAATTTCATTTTTGCAACGAAATTTATCTGAATATAATAGCTTAGTATGCATGGTATAAGAAAATTATTATAGCTATTTTCAAAACATTTAGATAATTTTATTATTATTATATTATTTCAAATGGCAGTTATAAAGTTAAATTTTGATTTGTTGATTTGCAAAATTAAAGTACAACAATAATTATTTTATAACACGTAAACGTTAAAGCAATAGGTAAGAGACAGTCAAGTTCTTTAAATTGAGATAATTTATATGAATATACGTGTAAAATATTGATGCGTTTAAAACATGTATCAATTTATAATATACATAAAACAAGTATACATGTGTATCATTACAAAGATTATCCGAACTTACGTTAGGGTGCGGGGAGTTCTGTCTCTTCGTGGTTATGATAGAGCTAAATTTAATAGTTTATTTACTTAACCTTTTTAAATTAGACGATACTTCCACGGTTATTATTATTTAACAGTTATGTTGCGTTCTAATTTGTGTATGTAGTTGTATCATGTCATATATGTACATATAAGAAATAACAAATGTTATATTGTTTTGTAAAATAATAGTAACACAAAAAAAAGTTTAATGCAGCGAGAACTTAAAAGTAACTACAGTAATCAAGTTTTTTCGCTTATTACTATATGTCGATCCCCGACTTGCTTTAAAAGCAGATTAGTATTCAAAGCAAAATTTTGCACCGGTAAAATAAGGCTCGCGAAAGTCTTCATTCTTCTAGGCCAAAAGGTCTAGACCGCGAATTTATTTTATCTAAAAACTACCGAAAATATCAACATGTGAATGAATAAATATATTTAAGGTTGATAAATATACAACATTAATGAAAATGTATTAAAACTCTTTTACAGCAACCAAAACGCTTAATAGGGGATATCATCCAGGATATAGAATTAATATTTTCTTACTCTACAAGATTTCGGATACAAGCTGAAATATCATGATTAATACAATTTGTCATCAGAAATTTACCATAAAATGTAATGTAGTAAGGAATAAATTAAATTACCATTACCTAGCGCATTTGATTCCATGTTTTTGACGGAAGCTAAACAGATGTCTGTTAACTTTTTCAAAAACTTTGAACGTATGATGCGTTTTTGGTTTCCGTAAAGGGATAAATGAAACTACACCAACATCAACATTTGGTATAGGTACAAATTCTCTTCCTAAGCACAAATAGTTTATGTGTTACATAAAAACTTAAACGATGACATTAGTATTATTTTCATGCTTACCAGGTATAATAAACTGCAGTTTAGGAGAAGTCCACGTTTGAGCAATAGTTGATAATCTGCACCTGTTTTTATCAGAAACTTTTGCAACTAATCGTTCAGCTACTTCTTTTTGAAAAGTTAATGTCATTTGCACTCTTCCAAAGGACCATGCACTTTTTTTTTCTGAAATATTTTGTAACCATTTAATTATTAAAGCAGTGGATATATTAAATGGTAAATTTCCTATAAGATGTATATTTGGAGCTTCATCATGCCACGCTTTTCTATGTACATCAGTAAACAATTCTGTCATGTTTATGTTCATAATGTCATCGATGATAATTTTCATGTCACTCTGTGTGGTGTAAGAAGAGTCTCGAAGCATTTCTAACATTGGTTTAAATCTTTCATCTTTTTCAACGAGTACAAGTTTTTTTGGACATTTTTTAATAATAGATCTTGTTAAAGCACCAGGACCAGGGCCAATCTCTAAGACATCCGACTTATTAATATTACCGGCAAATTTTACTATTCTATCGGTGATTTTTTCATTCAGTAAAAAATTTTGTGATAACTGCTTTGCAGCGGATAAACGATAAAGTTTCACAATGTCTCTTACAGTTGGAAGAAGTAATAATCTTGAACAAGACATAATCATAAATTATTATAAAAGTTATAAATGACAACTAAGTTATAAGTATACAATAGTCATTTCTGTTGCGTTAATAATATTCAATGACTTTTTCTGGTTCATTAAAATCATCTAAAAAACTTTCTTGTTTAATTGCCCACATAGAATATAAATATATAGAAAATACACCAACTCCTAAAGCAGTTCCTAGATAACGATTCTTATAACGGATTCTGGACCATTTTTTAACCCGGTCCCAGTTTTGCTGCTGTACACGTTGAATATATTCTTTTTCAATAACATTGAGTTGACGCTCACTACATCTGTTACTCAATTTAGACACTCTGTCTCCATAATCCATAACTTATTTTGCTTCATAAAATATCTGAAATTAAGAAATAACACTTTTTTTAAATTTATTTTTGACAACTGTTTCTGTTTAAATTTTTTTAGATATTTCTAGAAATGTTTAAATTAAAAGATAACAAAAATTGGTGTAACAAAAAATATACAAATTATACAACACGAAGGTATGCCAACAAATGAACAGTACGCTAATATAAATTATTTTTCTACGAACAGTAAACAACAGATTTTGTTTAAAATATTTGATGTCCCACGGAAAAATATCGAAATTTTAGTCTCTGGCTTTTTTTATGAGATAAATACTGCCAGGCTGCTGCCAAAAAACCATTTACCTGATTTTAAAAAAGTAGTAAAAAAACTCAGTATATTGAATTAGATAGTTTCGAAGACATGCTACCAATAAACTTGATGATAGGTGGAGTGTGCTTGAGACGATCACGGCACCTAAAAAATAGTACCCAGCAGGATAGATAACCGAGTTATATGGGGAGAGGATCTACTCGGATATTTAAAAAAAAGGAGGACATTTAGAGATAAATAAAAATAGTATAGGCTAGGGAGTAACGGTACGTTAACACCCTGCAAATCGATATACATGGGATCAAAGTACTACACTATACTATAGACCTCTTAAATGAGTTAAAGTAAATTTCAGATGGCACGTATACTGACACCTAACGCTAATCTTAACATAACAAATAAGATAGAAGAATTCAAATACTGACTAATATTTATGGGCGTAAATAAATCATTTGAGCTTTCAAAACTAGTAAAATAAAATAAATATAGTGGATATTAATAAAGGTCATTTTCTATCTAGACAGTAAATAAACAAACGTTGCAATGTCTCATACAATCCAGTAACTCAATAAAGTTTCGATAAGTTATATATAAACCTACATGTAACTTAAATAACAGAAAGTCTTTCGAAACGTAAGTGTGTTTTTAGTAAAAGTAAAATTATATACTTTTCACCATCCTGTTACATTTATTTTACAATATACACTTTTTTTTCTGTTCTAATGATAAAATTTTAAGACTCTTAAAAGAGTCATTCTTAACGAACGTCGTCTTCTAATAAAGCTGACTGTGTAGCTCATAACTCTCAGAAGAATAAAGTGAAAACCGAAGCAAGCAGCAAAGCCCACACATAGAGTCAGCAAGTGGTCCCATAGTGAGATAAAGAAACTGTAACTTCGCACAACCTGCATCCATTTGCGTGGCGCTCAAGTTAGAAGCTTTCCACTGCTGATCAAGTGTGGTTCGTAATTGTATATAAGATACATTAGATGCTTGAATTGCACAGTGGAAAGCTAAAATATGTAAAAAGTATAAAATAGTGTAAACCGAAAAAAAAAGCAATGAGAGGAAAATAACATACTTTAATACACATATGTTTGGAAATCCTAAACTTTCCCTCTTTTTTTCCATGTACAAATCAATAGTTGGACTGTCTGCTGTCAGTCTATAAGGGAGCGAGAAACTGCAATCCATATATTTCCAGTTTCAAATTGAAGAAAGAGTTAAGGGCATTCAATATATCGGCCGGAGTTTCTACTACGCCAACTTCCGTATTTAAATGAATTATTTTTAATAACAAATTATTTAGCTATTGAATTTTGTAAAAATTTGAGATCATTTGATCATTTGATGCATCACTTTCAAAAAGAAGTTATTTTTCATGATCATGAACGAGTGTTTAGATTTGCATAATCTAAAATGCAACTTCTTTTTAAAAATGATGCATCAAATAACTTAAAATTTTTGCAGGATCTCTAAAATAAAAGTACAAATGCGGATATTTTCATAGTTCTTGTAAATACTGAGTTTCAAAAACTAAAGCTGTTTAAGATGTTCACTGTAATATGAAAAGTTTCTACTGTACTGATTACCTCATATTAGTACATTTCTACTATAAATTAATTAGAATGGTAGTTTCCATACCTAGTGGCGCATGTCACCAGGGCAAGCACTAAGCCTAAGGGACCTGAGAAGCAGGGCTCGACGAACTCCTTGTGCTTGCCCTGGTTGGATGCGCACCAGGTGCGAAACCTATTTTTTCTACTGATGGCGCACTAAAAGTCCAAGTGTTAAAAAGAACGCTTTAAGTAGGAAATAGTATGCTTCTTACCTAGGGCAGACATTACACCTTGCGTGCCCGAAGGGCGCGGTTGTAGTGTGTTTGTACCCGAAATGAGAACCACATTTTTTGTATCGAGTGCGGAAAGTGCAACTTTGTGTCCGTGGGCACACTTTCCGCCCACCAATTACTTCCCGCCTTAAGGATGACTGAACGATAAAATAAACAAGAAAACAGTTTTACTGTCATAAAAATAAAAGAAAAGTAAGATAAAATTGTGTAATAATTAATTGTAAAACAATGAAAATTAGTAATCTGTTATACTAAACACACAGATATACACCTTAAAATCCGATCTGCTAACTAAAGCAGTCTATCGACTCCTATGTACCTTGAATTTCCTCATCAAAACGATTGGTTATCTTAGTCCTGCTTTAAAAGTAGACATTCTAAATCCAAGATTCGCCTACGAGTGTAATTTTTTCTAATTTACAAAAACACAGTGGATTAATAAGAACAATTTATATAAATAGAAGTTCGTACTACACGTAATACTATTAAATAAACTTTTTAATGCGGGCATGTTGAAAAAACAACAAAAGAAGTGGCAAAAAACTTTATTAACAAAAACTATTAGTTCGGAAAATTTTTTTAGAAAAAGAAATTAGATGCTATCAATAACCAATTACAACATTACTAGAATTATCAAAAATCGAACACTAATTTATCAAAAAATAAAAATTCTGAAACAAAAGAAGTATGGACGCTCAAGAATAATTATTAATTAATTCGGAAATTGGTGTCTAGCAGACATGTTATAAATTTAAAATTTAATTAAAACCACGATTTAATCAATTCAGTATTATCGTGGAATAAGATTCTCTTGAAGGCTCTCTAGAACATATCAACACGAAGACATCAGATTACACACACACGTGTGTCTATTAGTAGGGCTTCGATAGCGTACATATATATACACACTGACCTTTTTATCATCATGTAATGCACACTAACCCCATCGAAAATTTTACTAAAAATAATAAGAGAAATAAGACCATTCACGAAAACTAACAATCCTAGTGGGCAAATATGTATAAATATTTATTTTATCTACATGTGTACATATATAGTGAGAATATAAGTTTAATAAATAATAGAACGTGAATTCTATACGTTTGAGTATTTTACTTTAAACGGCTTCTCTAAGGATTGTACGCAAGACTGATTAGCGATGACTTTTATGGTTGTTTTTTTATTTTTTTTATTTTTTTTTATTTTTTTTTTTTATATCGGGTTACCGCGACAGCCTATTGGCCCAGTCGCCGGGGCCACCCACTCACCACCTATATGTGGGGGTGTATTGCCACACCCATTAACTCTTCTCTTTAATTCATACCATACAAATCATACCATGGGCACAGTGGAAGTATCTCCGGTGTAACACACCTTGTCAGTTAAGCTGACACTCTCTGCACCGGAGGGACACTTCCTGCATCGGGTCAACTCGCCACTGTGTAGCCTGAGTCTGAAGCATCGGATCCAGGCTAATTAGCATCCCCGGAGAAGCCCTATGTTTCAGGGGCCACTCCTCGCCGATAAGGCCGGCGATGCCAGCTAGGCATCGGGCCCGCTAATCCCTAGCTATTAGGCCCTAACACTGTTTCGCATTCACCCAGGCCCGAAGACCTGTGGAGCAAGGAAAAAACCCTGGAATTACTCTGAAGGAAAATTGCACGGAAAAACCTGCTTCGAAGTAGCCGGGGTTACATAGGAACTTTTTCCGGTGAAAACAGTTTTTGAAAAAATCTGCACTCACCGGGAATCGTACCCACGACCCATAGAACAGCGTTGTATCAGTAGCAAGCACGCTTACCACTGAGCCAACACCGCTCCTCGACTTTTATGGTTGTTATTATTACATCATTATATAAATTTTGGATCATTAAACATGTATATATCATGTCGCATACTTATATGTATCAGTGAAAGAATTTATATTATGATATATAAATAATCACAACAAAAAAAAGTCAGCACGCCTGTCTACTTGCCTCATGGGCGGTGTGGAAAAATGTGGTTTTTTTCTTTTTTTTAATTCTAGAAAAGTTAATATTAATTATGATACTCCTAGTATCAATACATATGAGACCATACAATTTCGAAAGACGTCAGGCGATAACAATAAGAAAGGTAAAGTTACGGTGAAATAGAGTAGGGTGTTCTCAAATACACAAAAGAATATACCAAACAAACATTTTTATGTTTTTCCTCATTTCATAGTGGGCATCAAAAAACAGTAGAACAAGACGTTTTTAGAAAAGGGTGGGGGGGGTGTAGACATACCGATCAAAATAAGTATATAACGTAGACAAATGTAAATGTAATGTTATTTAATATAACATCGAGACCTTCCACCTCATAAACTACCTTTGTTCAAAAATTTTTTCTTTATAATCAAATTTATTGTTATTTTACGATGGAATAGAAGAAACACAAATTTAAGTTATTGAACAGTGGAGGTGAGGTACAGACAATTAAAAAATAACAGGTACCTTAAAAAATTCAAATTTTTTGATAAAAAAGATTGGTGACCACCAAATGTGCCCTTCTATAACATATTAAAAAAAAAAAGTTTTAAGTTTGGGGGGGGGGAGGGCTGTTAAAGAGACACCTGAAATTCGATGCAGTGTATGGAGGAGGGGTGAGGTGAGTTTTCCACATTCTTTGTTGGGTAGAAATCACGGAGACATATATCAAACTTTCCCTCATTTTGTGGGTGGAAGAGGGGTGTAGGGGACCACTGGGGGTGTGGGAGGTGTCAAAAAATAGGATAATTATAATGATTTCTGAAAATATTCTTAGTTTATGTAAGGGGTAGTGGAGGGATAAGAAATTTTAGGATCCTCCACGTAATGGGGAAGTAAAAAAAATTTACCTCG